CCCGCGCCGTGTCGGCGGTGACCGAGCGGGGGCTTAACTCGTGCCTGGCTGCAAACATGTGAAACGGGGGGGGGAGACAGTGGTGTCCCCGGCGCTCCCGGGCTCCTGACACGGGGAGCCCCGCGTCACACGTGTCCGACTGTCCTCGTGCCAGACGGTTACACCGGCGTCAACGGTTAACCAGCGCGATTGATACCGTGTGAAATGTGTTATGGGGCTCAACGGATAACTAGCGCGGTGCTCAGCAGTGTTCAGCTGGTAACTAGTGTGGCTAACTAGCGTAGCGTTCAGCGGCTAAGTAGCACAGTGTTCATTACTTAACTAGCATGGCTAACCAGCGCAGTGTTCAGCAGTTAGAGCCGGCGTGGCTACTGTGGTCAAGTGATGCCATGTTGAGCATGTTACTGTGTTAAACAGTTAACTAAGAGTTAACTAATTGTGTTCAGTGTGTTACTGTATTAAATGGTTCATTATACTAAACATGTTAAACAATTAACTAACACCATGTTAAGCACCTAACTACCATGATTAGCTAATGCCTTGTTAAGTGTTACCGAATTCGACAGTAAACTAATACATTTAACTAGCACTGTGTTTAGTGGTTACCAGCACGGTCAATGAACCCCACGTGTTAAACATGACCTTGCACTTGGCAAGGCGAGGGACAAGTGGAAGGCAGCGTCCTGTTTGCTGGTGGTGGTTGGTGGCAGAGAGACTCGGTAACTGCTACTCAGCTCTGCCTTGCCTGACTGCACTGTCCTGCTTAGACCTGGCCTGGGACAGACCAAATGCTTATGCAGGTAAACAGAGGAGGAAGGAGTTCCCATTTCAGAGCACGCATCATCTGATCCGGTGTAAGCCTTCTGTCTGCCCTCTCCTAACCCACAGTAAGTGAAATGGTACTGCAGTCACTCTTCCCTGCCTGAAATGGTGGGGAAAATGCTGCATTGGCCCGGGCAGCCCCTGGGGGTGACTTATGGCCGATCCGGGAGGGACAAGTGGCACAGTGGCAGATAGGGCAAGAGGCAGAAAGCAGAGCAGTAGATGGGGCAGAGAGCACAGGGAGGAAGGCAGAAAGCAGAGCAGCAGATGAGGCAGGGGAAGGGGATCGGAGTGGCACTCGGCGAGGATGCAGGGCTAGATGGTGGCACGCCTGCCAAAACGGTCGGCCCCATTCTTATGTCACACACCAGTGAAGCCAAACCCATTGAAAGGAAACAGTGTCCTCCCTTCCCCAGGGAGTCATCACAATTTGCACACGCTGCCTCAACAGTCCATCCTCACACAAGAAAAAGATCGATCCTGAGCAGTCATTTCTGCCCCAGTCTTACAAGCTGCGATCCTACAGGCCAGACCCTTGTACCTGAATAGAGCCCTGCTGACTCGGGCGGTCTTGTGTAGGTCTGTGAGGCTTCTTGCATATTGCTCATTGCAGGGCTGGATTGTCCATCATAACCAAATGAAAGAATCCTTTTTTAAATCTCAAATGCCACTGGCAACTTTCACCTAGAAATCAAAAATGAAATTTATAGCCATAACTGGGTTCAGATACCAAACTAATATGATGCCAGTTAGGTGATTTTATTCAGACAGACCATCACGCTGACATTTTAGAAACTCAATCTGAAAATCTACAGTTTCTGATGAAGTAGTCAAAAAAGAAAAAGCTTTTATCTCTTCTTTTTTTTAAAAAAAAAAAGGGTTACTTTTCCTGTTCTTCCATTTGATGTGAAAGAGTCTTTTCAGTAAAAGAGTAACTGTGGTGTCTGAATAACTGGAGAAACACTGAAAGTGACTCAACACACTGGCAAATGAGCTAAGTGAACTGAAAATATATTTTTAAAATGTCAATTTTAGCTTTAGCATCTTTCTATAACTACAGTATTTTTTTTTTTTTAAGAAAAATGATTTCTCAAGAGTTGTATGCATCGGGAACTGTTTTTCAGGTATTTAGGAATGGTGCAATTTTAAATCAAAGGCATTTTCCTTGGAAGAATTGTGCAGGACCCTAAATATATATGGAGGAAAGGCATCAAAAAGTAGAAGAGTATCAGATATGACAAGCTGCTCTTGTTTTGCTGGGACAGTATTTTTGTCTCTTTCCTAGTATCCTTTCTGACTCGAGAAGACTGAAGTTCTCCAAAAATAAGAGGAGGAAACTGCAGGTTTGGGACGAAGGGAAGAATGGTGGAACCTGGAGAAAAGAAGTAGGGGAGTGGATGAAAGCGGAGGTCTGCGATACTAATTCAGTACAGTTCAGAGATGATTCCTTTTATTAAACCAACTAAGTAAAAATCATCTTTTTCTGCAAGCTTTCAGATTCACACGACCTTCCTCAGGGAAAATAAAGATGGTAAAAAGTCCCCATATGTAGACAATAAATATTTGCTAGAAAATAAATATTTTCTGCCTATGGGGATTTTTTTACCATCTTTATTTTCCCTGAGCCTGAGCAAGGGCATGTGTGCCCAAAAACTTGCAGAAAAAGATATTTTTTTTGTAATTTTTTTTTTAGTTGGCCTTATGAAAGGTATCATCTCTGAACCAAGAGTTCTTTCTGAAGGCATTGCTTTTTAAATTTAGGCTGACAGATGAGCACAGTTTCATTGGAAAATCTGAACCTGTGTGTATTTCAAAACCTTTGTATATTAAGGCAAAAGTTGCTAATTAATATTAAATTAATAATCACTGCTCTATAGATTTTAATTTGACTGTAGTTTTGGGATTACAGAATTATATAACTCCGTAGTGACATAGCAGTTCAAAAACTACATTTTTATAACTAACATTGATATTATGCAGTAGAGTTCCTCTACCATCTTCAAAATATTGTAACTGTAATGGTAACAGAAATGTTGCACTGGTCATGTATAAATTCACTTTTATTTGATTTGCTTCTTTATTCCCTGTTGTTTTTTCTGAAGCTTGTCTGAATATCAGTCTTCAGTAAGATCTAGTGTCCTGGAAATGTTCAGGTTTTGAAATCTGCTGGATTGAAGTTATTAATGCTTGTTTTTTATAGTTTATATATATATGTTTGTAGCAGAAAATATTATACCTAGAATATTAAATATATATTATGTGTATATATACATACACACATGCATAATGACATTCACTAGTCAGTTTTTACTTTTGTTCCAAGTTTCCAGTAACAATCCAGCCATCTCTAAGAATCTCAAGTATATGCAAAATAATATTTGTAATTATATAGGCTCTAATCCTACATCCCTGGAGCAGCACCTGGCCCCATTTGCACAACATTATAGTTCAGCCTATACAAATCAGGAAACAAGCCTGTTTTGAGTTCTGCTCAGGGGAACAGGAGTAAAACTAATTCATTTCTACTTCTATATTGCAGGCGTTACCCCACTGTTGAAAAACGAGCCAAAACCTTCAATGGAGCAAGCTACGTAACTTTGCCAGAGGACAGCATCTTTCTGAAGGCTTTGCTTTTTGAACTTAGGCTGACGGAGGAGGACAAGAACTTTGTGGACCATCGAGATAGCTGTTCTCGAATCAACAAGACTTCAGTGTATGCACTTCCTGTGGGAGGTGGAGATCTCTGGCCTGTCCTTGCCTTTCAGAAAAGTGGATTGCTATACGTTTGTCTTCCCCTAGTTGAACAGTCCTTGAAGCCGCGCCCTCCCCTCATTAACATTAGTGGAATCTCACAAGCATTTGCTATCTTGTCAGGATTGCTAGTCTTCATTAACTCCAGTCAGAAGAACGAAGCTGAGATAAATGCCAAAGTAGGCCAGCTTCCAAATTTGCTCATGCAAGCCTGTCCACTTGGCACCCCGTTAGACACTAATTTGAATGGCTTGTTAGATAGCACCCAGATTGCTTCCACCAACCACACACAGAAGCAACCAGTGTGGAGAGTGAGCACGTACAAAGGCAAACCTCAGGTTAATGTTTGCATCACTGAAAAAGTCAAGTCCATGCAATATGACAAAAGGGATATTGCAGACACGTGGCAGGTTTATGGAACTGTAACTTGCAAGGTGAGGACATTTCTAGGACAAATCTGCCTGACCTATTTAACACATGAATGCGCTAGGGGAAAAAAAGTAGAAATTCAGCTCATTTTATCTTGGCATACAGGCAGTCAAACATAAAAGAGTGTTAATGTCTAAGAGTGTATCAGAGAAGATATTTATTAAATTAATGCTTTAGATCAGAGTATAGAGTTTGGCTTACTGTTACTTTCTTGCATGCGTTGTGCATTTTTCAATCACTATTTTTGGATCTAAAACTGGCACTCTCTTCCAGTAGGAACCTCATCCTATTTCACAAGATACTATTTTCGTAAGAAATAATTTCATAAAGTATATTTGTATAAGGATAAGGGCTGGAGAGTTGGCTGATAAGCCAACTTTACTTCAACTAATAAATATTATGGTTAAAGAATCAGAATTCTTTAATATTAAAAGGTTATTTTAATAACCTTAGTACTTAAAAAAAACAAAAAAACTCACAATTTTTAAATTAAATCTTACCTCTCTCTCATTTCATAGATTCATAGATGGTAGGGTCCAAAGCGACCTCAATCTCAATAGATCATCAAGTCTGACCCCTGCCCTGGGCAGGAAAGAGCGCTGGGGTTAGATGACCCCAGCCAGATGCATGTCTAGCCTCCTCCTAAAGACCCCCAAGTTCTTCTGCTCCTCTTAGCATATGCGATGCTATTAGATTTATTAAGATCAGGAATCTGGAAAAAGAAAACAGTTTTAGAATTCTTTTGAGTAGCTTTCGTAGGTGTTCAATTTTTATTAGTAATAATGGGGAAACATAAGTCAATCAAAATGTATGAAAGCATGTTACAGTGTGTCCTTTTAAAACTGAATCTTGTGGTTGTATTGTCTTCTCTTTGTTATAAAGTGTGCTGAGGAATTGTCTGGCATTACTTTAATGAACAACTTTTTAGCTGCTATTGTTTTATAAGGAGAGAGCAATCCCAGTGAAGTGCATGGCAATAATTTAATTATTAGCAGTAGCTGGTGGTATGCTTATCTTGCAGGGACCCTGACCTAAATCTATTGCTCCTGAAGAGTTGAGGTTATTTCCTACCAGTGGTACTGGTGAGTCTTCCCTTGCTAGAGAACTTCCTGCTGTCCATGGGGATCGTTTCTGGGTCATTTTTGAGAGTGGATACATAAAAGAAAAGTACTAGTATAATGCTTTGCTGAGCTAGCACAAGTGAACTAGACAATAGGTGGCACAGCAGGTTTTCTCTGTGATGTAGCTGGTGAGATATCTCTGTAGCCATTAACAGCATGTTTGGATCTATAAAACTCATGTAGGAATAGCTGAATTAAATGGATGAATAACTATTGAATGTGTTTATATGCAGTTCATGATATAATATCAGTTACTGTGTTTGCTCTTGCGTCTAGAGACTATATATCAGTTTAACAAATCTTTGTTAATAATCCTTAGGGCAGTATCAAAGGAAGCTCTGAAATTGAGAAAAGGGCCCACATTTGACCATGTTTCTGTTGCTTCTCAAATTCAAGCTACTTCAAATTTGTCAGCAGGCTTTTAATGCCTCTTTCATTTTCAAATATCTGGTTTGGATTTTGGAAGTGGTCCTAGGCAACACAATGTCTGGACTTTGTTTTTTTTTCCCCAGTGTGATTTAGAAGGAGCTGCATCAAATGTAACTATCAGCGTGAACCTCCCTGCCAACGGCTCTCCACTCCAAGATATCCTGGTCCATCCCTGTGTGACCTCCCTTGACTCTGCAATTCTTACTGCTAGTAGTGTTGATGGATTGGATGACTCTGCATTCAGTGGGCCTTACAAATTTCCTTTCGCTCCTCCTTCAGATTTGTTTGACTTATGCTACTATACTTCCCAGGTAATAACCTTCCCTTCTCTGTAGTCTTTGAGTTTCTGAATGAGCTTCTTTAGGAATAAAAAAATCTTTTCTCTAGGCGGTAGAACAAGCATACACTACCTAAAGCCATTTCTAGCACACCACTGCTCCATGTAGCTCAAGTTGCATGAAGAGGCTGCCTTGCAGTGCTATTAAAATGTACATTGGTTAACATAAATACGTCATTTAAATTAAAATTATTTACTTCCTGTTCAAGTAGCTTATAGCAAACCTCTAGAAAATTATTCCTAAAATGAATCTGTTTTCCCCAGGTGCCTGTCCCACCAATTTTGGGATTTTACCAAATGAAGGAAGAAGAATCACAACTAAAATTAACAATAAATTTAAAGCTTCATGAAAGCGTGAAAAATGCTTTTGAGTATTGTGAAGCACGTATACCCTTTTTTAATAGGTAAGAAGAAATCCCAAATTTTCTCCACCTGTGCAATAACCTTAGAATGGGAACTTCCATAATCAGTGCACTTGAGTTCACACCCCTGAATTATGTGCCACTGGCTGCTAAAATTCACATAACCTCATATTAAGTACTCCAGAGTTTCATCTGGAATCTAATGTTGGGTACCTCAGTCAGTGCCATGCCTAACAAGCAAGACAGCCACATTCTGTATCTAGGTCTGTACAGCTGCTCTGGAAGGATAACTGGAATAACTTGTTTTGAATATGCCATTTCCCTCTAGCATTTTTCATGTTAAATCTAGCAACCACCCACCTGGTGGATTAAGTCTTAAGATTGCTTCCTACCCAGGTTTTGTCATTCCTAAACACTGTTAATCCTAGTTACAGATCAACTTATCAAAAATATAGTTATTTAAAATTAAAACGACAGTGTTTTTTGTTAAGCCTGACAACTGTTCTGGGTGTATTGTAATATAGTTATTATTCAAATGTAATAATGAAAGATGAGAGAGCCCGTGACATTGATCATAGCATTGGGAAAATGCTGTTTTTGAACTAGATGGAATAAAATCACCAAAAGGCCTATTGTACGTATGCTTTTGAAACTACAATGATCCCGTTGGTTGTAATTTCTTTCCATAAACTGGTGGTATGTTCAATTTAGTATGATCCAGATTTGTGCACCTTTAATATTGGCTTCAATTTCAACACATTAAATGCTTCTTCGAATAAAACAGATGTCACCAAATTGCTGTATAGTGTGAATTACAGTAGCATTTTATCCTGTTTTGTGCAATAGGGGTCCAATCACTCATTTGGAGTACAAAGTTAGCTATGGGCAGCTGGATTTATCACGGGAGAAAAGCTTGCTGGTTTGGGTTATAGGTAAGCTGAATGCAGTATCTTTTTTATTGAGAGTTAGTTTTGTGTACTGTTGACTCATTTTACTCAAGTTTTATTGAGGCTGTTTCTGTTTTTAGGACAAAAGTTTCCCAAATCTTTGGAAATTTCCCTTTCTGGAACAGTGACTTTTGGTTCTATTAATAAAGAGCATTCAATTGATCCAATATGCACTGGGAACACTGCATATATAAAAGTAAGTTTTGGCCTGTACAAGAAGATGCATTAATAATCAGGTTTTTAGTTAAATTGGCAAGGTAACCACATTGATTTGCATCATCTGCTGCTATTAATGCTTTTGTTTTCTGTGTGCATTTTTCTATATTCTTGTTGTGAGGCTACTACTTCCTATCAGTCTTCTCCATTTATACACCAAACATTTGTATAGCGGGCATGGTGAACTGTGTAGGTATCCATCATTTATCCACGAAAGAAACAATATATATTTCACCACATTTTCTTTGTTTCTATAGCTGTATTTCAGGATCCCAGATTATACCGTCACTGGATGTTATACAGACCAGCATTCTGTTCAGGTCTTTTCATCAGGAAAACCAAAGATTAATACATGTGAGTTAGTTAAAATTGTTGATTACTTAACTGAAAGTGTATTGGGGGACTTATAAAGTACACAGCTTAAACAACCAATATGAGATCTTCTTGTTTTATTAAATAGTTTTCTGTGTAAACTTTTATTGTTTTGCAAAACATTTTTTTCTGCAAACTTAAACATTAAATAACCTTTTAAGTCAAATGTTCTGGTTGAGAATGTAAGCCTGGTTGAGCCTGACAAGATTATTTACTAGAGGAATATACTAGTAGATGATAACTTAGACAGCAGCAACCATGAGATGATTGTTTTCAGGATCCTGAGGAAAGGAAAGATCTAGAGCAGCAAAGTAAGGACCTTGGACTTCAGAAAAAAAGACTTTGACTCACTCAGGGAACTCATGGGCAGGATCCCCTAGGAATTGAGTCTGAGGGGAGAGGAGTCCAGGAGAGCTGGCTGTACTTTAAAGAAGCCTGACTGAGTGTGCAGGGACAAACCATCCCAATGCGCAGGAAGACTAGCAAGTATGGCAAAAGACCAGCCTGGCTTAGCAGGGAACTCTTCAGTAAACTAAATCACAAAAAGAAAGCTTATAAGAAGTGGAAACTTAGACAAACAACTAAGGAGGAGTATATATTGCTCAGGCATGCAGGGATGAAGTCAGGAAGGACAAAGCACAATTGGAGTTGCAGCTAGCAAGGGACATGAAGGGAAATGAGAAGGGTTCTCTAAGTGTGTCAGCAACAAGAGGAAAATCAGGGAAAGTGTAAGTCTTTTACTGAATGAGGGAGGCAGCCTTGTGACAGAGGATGCAGGAAAGGCTGAAGTACTCAATGCCTTTTTCTCCTCAGTCTTCACAGGCAAGGTCAGCTCCCAGAGTACAGCACTGGGCAGCATAGTTTCAGGAGGAGGTGAGCAGCCAACAATGGTGAAAGAACAGGTTAGGGACTTTTTAGAAAAAGTGGACATGTACAAGTCCATGGCCCGGATGGGATGCACCCGACAGTGCTGGGGGAGTTGACTGATGTAATTGCAGAGCTGTTGGCCATCATCTTTCAAAACTCATGGTAATCAGGAGAGGTCCTGGATGATTGGAAAAGGGCAAACATTGTGCCCATATTTAAGAAAGGGAAAAAAGGAGGATCCAGGGAACTACGGACCAGTCAGCCTCACCTCACTCCTTGGAAAAATTGTGAAGCAGGTTCTCGAGGAATCCATTTCTAAGCACTTGGAGGAGAAGGTGATTAGGAGCAGTCAGCATGGATTCACCAAGGGCAAGTCATGCCTGACCAACCTGATTGCCTTCTATGATGAGGTGACTGGCTCTGTGGATGGAGGGAAACCAGTGCCTGTGGTGTATCTTGATTTTTAGGAAGGTTTTTCATATGGTCTCCCACAGCATTCTCACAGGCAAGCTAAGGGCGCACAGGCTGGATGAATGGACTATAAGGTGGATAAAAAACTGGCTGGAGCATCAGGCTCAGAGGGTAGTAATTAGTGGTTCAATAGCTATTGGCAGCCGGTATCAAGTGGAGTGCCCGGGGTCAATCCTGGGGCCAGTTTTGTTCAATATCTCCATCAGTGACCTGGATGATGGCATAGGGAGCACCCTCAGCAAGGTTGCAGATGACACTATGCTGGGAGTAGCAGATACGCTGGAGGGTAGGGCTAGAATTTAGAGAGACCTAGAGAAGTTGGAGAATTCGGCCAAAAGGAATCTCATGACCCCTCCCACCCCCAGTGCTTCTTCCTGCCCATGGCAGGGGGTCGGACTAGATGATCTGTCTAGGTCCCTTCTGACTCATTGATTCTATAAGGTTCAACGAGGACAGGGCCAAAGCCCTGCACTTAGGACAGAGCAATCTCATGCACCAGTACAGGCTGGGGGTGACTGGCTGGGCAGCAGTTCTGCAGAAAAGGACCTGGGGGTGGCAGTGGACACTAAACTGAATATGAGCCAGCAGTGTGCCCAGTTGCCAAGAAGGCTGACATCATCCTGGGCTGCATTGGTAGAAGTGTTGCCAGTAGATCGAGGGAAGTGATTATTCCCCTCTATTCAGCACTGGTGAGGCCACATCCGGAGTCCTGTGCCCAGTTTTGGACCCCCCACTACAGAAAGGATGTGGACAAATTGGAGAGAGAGTCCAGCAGAGGGCAACAAAAATGGTGAGAGGGCTGGGGGACATGATTTATGAGGAGAGGCTGAAGGAACTGGGCTTATTTAGTCTGGAGAAAAGAAGACTGAGAGGAGATTTAATAGCCTTCAACTGCCCGAAGGGCAGTTGCAAACAGGATGGAGCTGGGCTGTTCTCAGTGGTGGCAGATGATAGAATGAGGAGCAATGGTCTCAAGTTGCAGCAAGCAAAGTTTAGTTTAGATATTAGGAAGAATTTTTTAGCTAGGAGGTAGTAAAGCACTGGAACAGGTTACCCAGAGGTTGAATCTCCATCCTTGGAGGTTTTTAAGACCTAGCTAGACAAAGCCTTGGCTGGGATGATCTAGTTGGGGCTGGTCCTGTTTTGAGAAGGGGGTTGGACTAGATGACCCTCTGAGGTCCCTTCCAACCCTAATTTTCTATGAGACTGTGATTTACACGGTAATTAGAAATATTTTACCTGCTCTTAAAGCAAACATCATAGTCTTCTGACCTATTACAGGCTATATTTATCCATCGCGATCTTAGGCTACCTGCTGTACTTAGCTCCCACCTTAAATGAGGTCTGTTTAAAACTTTTTTGTAGTACGCACCTTCTCCAAACAATGCTTCAGGACAGAAAGCTATATGTTTTTAAATGGTTTATTTTCTCTAGGTACCTCTTCGATCACCATTATCATAGCATTTGAGCATCGTGCACTTTTTAATGTAAATCCACTCAATACCCCACTGTGTTAGTAAAATGCCATTATGCTTTTTGTACAAATGAGGAAGTTGAAGGAAGAGGGGCAGTGAAACTGGCCTAAGATCACATGGGTCTATATATTACCAGAGCCTGCTGAGTTCAAGGCTAGTGCTTTAACCACTGCAGCATTCTTCCCAAGTAGTCAAACACATACAATTCCTGAATTTTCACCAATAAAGTACTACTGTAATGCATATATTAGATTCCTGTTAAGTATGAGCAGCCATGGCTAATAAAGGCACTTACCTTGCCTGCTTTCTAAGTTTTGTAACTTGGTGCAACTATATCCACAGAAGTTTGAGAATTCCTCCTGGAAACTCTGCTGCCTTGCTGTTTGTAGTCTGACAAGTCAAATTCAGTTAAATTGCAGCACAGCATCTTATTTTTCCTACTGCATGTACTAATGTTGAGCATGCAATTTATATTCATTGAACAAAATCCAAACCGCATACCTGCTTTTCAGTTAACCCCTGTTTGAATGATTGACTGATGACTAAGTAAAGGTGATAGTAAAGGTGATTGAAGCTGAGACTTTAAATGACTCATTATTATTGTTTGAAAATAATATGGGTATTACATTTTAATGAGACTGTTATGCTTTTTTGTAAATTTGTAAGAATGGATTAGTAGTCTCTTAATTGGGTTCAAGCAATGTCGCAGTGTAAGCTGCTGCATCATGATGCTTATTTTCTGTCTCTTTTTTTTAGCCCGGGAATTGATTTCTTCAGATTACTACATCTGGAATTCCAAAGCACCGGCACCTGTAGTGTACAGAACTTTATTTTTCTAATTTCCCAGTGAAAGGTTTTGTATCAGAACAGAAATGACAGTGAATGAAAGTAATGTTAACACAGTGAAAAATAAATTTGCTATAGTATTTTTAATTTGTCTATTTGTGCTTAAGCTCCTGGCGGTGGCTTGTTGTTGGTTTTTTTGGAAGACTTATGAATTGAATTAAAATGTGTTTACACATTTTAGTCATAGATACTGTTTGAAAGAGCATGCTTTTAAAATCAGATTTTCCTCCTCACTTACGTTTTAATCTCTTAAATTAACTTTTACAAAATAAGGATCCTGTACTGCAAGCTAGAATGGGTGGACATCTGTTCCAGCACCAGACTTTAGTGGGAATCTGGGCAAAGACAGTCTACCTTCATGTAAAAAAAAATGTAGGGGTTAGAGCACGAAAAGCCCATTCTGACTTCTACAGAGCATTGGATGAGGAAGCTCAAGTTTGGAAAAGCTTCTGCCTCTCTGAGTGAGTCTATAACAGTGGAGCGTAACCTTTTTTGCAGGCATGCCACAAATTAGTCCCACACCCTCCCTGAGGGCCACTCTGATCCCCTTCTTCTACCCAATCTGTTGCTCTCCTTTCTTCTCCATGTTCTGTGCTCCCTGCCCAGTCTCTTCCTCTGCTTTCTGCCCTATCAGCTGCTCTGCCACCTATCCCCTCCCTGATCTGCCAGCTGCCACGCACAAAAGCAGCTTGTGTCACTTTTGTCACCTGTGCCACATGATGGCCACCCCTGGTTTACAAGGTGCATCTCTACCCTGCTTTTTACTCTAATAAAGTCAGATTGGTCCTTAGTCACAGAAAAATATAATAGCAAATAATCGCTGTCTATATTCTTTAACCTACCGCTGCTCTTCTCAGTTTGTTTTAACAAAATAATTATGTTTATCGTTATGGGCAAAAGAAGATGAACACTCACTCATTTAAATGATTTTAGGAACAGCAGTATGACATCAATTGCATCATGAAATGTGTGAGGCATAACTACGTAACTAATATTAATATCTCTACCTTCAGCAGAAGTCATCTGAAACTTCACTTTTCATACTCATCTCCAAAGGGCGCTGTTATGGGAAGCAGCCTCAAAAGATTTTACAGCAGTGTAAGTCTAGCTTTAAAAATAAAAATAAAAAAGTCACAGGTTATTAACTAAAAGCCAGCAAACCAAAGTATCCAAGTTTGTGAGTTTGAAAAAAGTATCACTAAGCCATTTTCATCATAAATCTAGGCTTGTAGGAAAGGGAGTCTGGGTTTACAGAGGCAAACCTCTTATTTTGAGAAGAAAATTGGTATCTGCAGGAACACAGGAAATGGACTTTAAGAGAGTTATCGGAAATGAGCAAATTGTGAAAGGCTGGTTAAAAAAAAACAAAACCCTGAGAACCTGGAGAGCAGCACAAAAGAAAAGAAGAATGCCATCTAATAACTGAGCACAAGGGCTGCCGCTACAGTACCTCTTGTTTAACTGTACGCTGTGTGATAAATAAGATTAGTGATTATGTAAGGAGAAAAGTTTTAAGCTATAATTTAAAAAATGCTTATATTGAGATAGTAATCTAATTGGTTGGTTAAACGTTCTGAAGAGTAGATTAATTCATGTGAACCATGCAGCTTAGCTGAAACTGCTATGCAAACTTCTAAAGGACAGCTACAGTGCATTGGAATTAAAATGACCCATTTCATAAGGAAGCTGTGTTCACTTTGACTGCTGGAAAAGACCACATTCATAAATTCCCCTGGATCTAGCCCACTGAGAATACCCTAACATACGTACAAACTGGCACCATGTTCAGATCAGGTTAGAGAATTATTTTAAAAAAGAGTAGACCTTATCCCATTTGCAAGAGCATTACAAAAACTTTTGAAAACCTCTGAAACTTGTGGCATTTACTTTGCAGCCTCCCATGAGAAGGGAAAAATGGGATTTTTCCAGCTTGCACAGCAGGCCTTTTTAATCCACAGATGCCAAGGATCTCCAGGGAAATCCTTTGGCCCAACTGCATGAGGAATTCATTCTGTATTGCTCAAGGAATCCCTTTGCCTATGGCAGCAGGCCATCCTCAGAAGCCATTCTTTTGGTTCTCCTCCTGTTTGTGTTTGTAAAGCTTCCTGTGTAAGAAATATTTCCATATTTAAGAGAGGAGGTCAATTGCCAGGATTGATCCAGGGTGGGATCTTGGTGCAGTGTTGTAGGAGGATGATGGGGCCAGTGGATGTCTGTCTCCTCATCAGAAGCAGCCTCACAAGTCTCATCTGGAAGGGTGGACACTCAGGTGCGCAGAAAGGGCTGTATTGTTGGAGAGCAGGAAAGTGAGATTAGTCAGGCTCAGTTCTGCTTTTGACAAAATGTTTTGGGCCTTTAATGGGAAACTTCCAGCCCATACAATCAGAAGTGAGTATGAACTAGTGAACCACAGATTAATGATGTGGTAGACTCTCCAACATCTGAGTCGGACAGCTATGTGCAATAACAGCATGCCTTCATCAGTGTGGTTACTGGGTCAGGATACAAGCCACCCATTATAACGATGTCCCTCTTGAGACAATTGTATATGAAATCTGATTACAACAGAGATTATTTAAGGGAGATTGTGGGGAGGGAGTGGTATTTTCTCTATGGCTGCATCCAGATGAGTGTGGATGTTTCGTTCCCCAGGCACAACTAGCGGCAGTGCACCTTGTGCCGCTGCTAGCTGTCCCCAGGGAATGCCTGTGCCACACATGCTCTGGCACACGGCAGTTTACCCCAGGTGGAGTAGGGGAGGCTGGCACCAGCACTGGGCTGGCACCAGCAGCCTTTCCTGGGGTCATGGGGGGCCTCCTGGGCTGCAGCAGTGGAAATCCTGCTGCACAGATCCTGGCCATCAGCTCTGGGCAGAGCACACTGCCGCTGTGTGCACCACTCTGCTTTTTCTTTTCCTGCAGGTTTTTTTGACCCCTGGATATCCAGGGGTCAGAAAACCTCTCCACGCTGCTCTCTTGCAGCACAGACAACAACTGAAAGTGCAGTATGCAGCGTATACCACACAGCTGCGCTCATGTGGGCTTGGCCTATTTGTCTACTTGGGCTAACTCCACCAAAGGATGTGGCTGCCTACAGCCATGCTCATTCGCGTTCTAACTGGAACACGTTGGAGCATACTCACTTAACCAAGTCTGCTCCACATTCTAATTAGAACATGAACAAGTCACCTCACTGTATGTATTAAGCCTCTGCGCACTTCCAAATGGCTGCAGGGGTGCATTACCTAAACCTCATTGG